TGCTTTCATGTTATGAACATGATGAAGTGAAATTCCAAAGGTAGAAGAGCTTGATAACACAGGTCTTCTGAATCTGATATGTTCCTTATTAAATCTAATTTGTACAAGTAAGAAAAATCTGGTTTTCTAGATCACCATCACTGTACCAGCTTTATTGTGAGTAAACCAGAGGGTTGAGTAATTTGTTCTTTCCCAGTTTCAATAAAGGCTCTGATAGCTTCACTTCGTTCATAAAGATTTATGGTTCGGAAATGCTATACTCTTCTTTACCTATTGTCACCACCAGTTTAAAAGATTATGGTTTGAACTTCTTTGCCACTTCTTTTGCTCATCCACATTGGAGGCTACTCCTTGAAGCTTTGGTTTCTGATATACAGTTTGTCATTTCATCACTGCAAGAGTCAGACTCTAGCCAGTAGTGGTATCAGGTCATAGTGGAGACTGAATGGTAGTTTTACTAAGTCTGTAGTTCTTATCAAGTTATGGAAGTGTTTGTTTTGCATAGAAACTTCATTATTTTCTTGGTAAGGTATTCTAATGTCAGCTTACCCCAAGTAATGTACTATAAATTTCAGGTCTTTGTTTTGTGATGTACCTTATACATGCATTGTAGGAGTATTGGCAGCTCTATTTCACTACACAATCAGCATCCACTGGTGTGCTGAAACACTTTCCAGTCCATTTTCTTGAGAACTTCCACTGTTTTTGGAAAATATATGACTTGGTATTTTTAGCTGAAAAATCACTTCTTTTCATAATAAATGTGGACTCTTTTTACAAAATGGATTCTTGCACTTGTTCCTTTAATAGGCAAGATTAATTGTCTTTAAAGGATTCTGGTGATGGTGTATGCTGTACAGAACTATAAGGTATATTTTGTCCAGTGATTGAGACTAGCTCTTTCTAACGGGCCCAACTGAGTAGATCTGTCTTGCTCCATCCACCTGAGGATGGAGACAGATCCAGTCTCCGAAATGTTGTGGTTTTTTGTCTTATACATACCAGACGATGGATAGCGTCCAAATTATACCTTGTAGTTCTGTACAAGATTAACTGTGTTAGTCATTTTTTGATCCAAAGAGCTCATGAATGACTTTCAGTCTTCAAAGAAAGAAATGTAGAAACTACGTAGACAGACATCCTGGATTGTGTTAAGAATAATGAACAATGTAGGCAGTTGTCGCTGAATTTCTACGCGGAAAACTCTGCCAGCGTAACAAAACATACATGACATGCTATTTATCATTTTGAGTAACAGTTAAAAGCATCTGACGCTAAAACTCAATCATCTGCCACCGCATGTCAGATACATGCAGTGTATACTGGTCAGGTATTACTGTTTCATATCAGGTTAACAGACAAGGAACTAATTGTGTTATATACATATGCTGTTAAGCTAAAGTTGTTCCTGTACCCAACGAATTGAGCACTACGCCATGAAGGCACATAGAGGAGTGGATGTATAGATCCATATTTTCTTGACCTCGGCACTCTCTGGAGGTGAGTAGTCAGCTTCACACCCCTGCTCCTTTAGCCCCAGGGAAAGAGCCCCTGGTACCGATTGGATAGGAGGTTGGATGGACCCCAGAGCTGGTCTGGATGATTTGGAGAAAGGAAAATTCTTGACCCTACCGGGACTCGAACTCTGACCTCTCAGTTGTCCAGCCTGTAGCCAGTCATTATACCAGCTGTGCTACCCTGGCCCCTTATAAGTATGCTGTTAGCAACAGGAAATACTGAATGTTAAAGAAAACAAAAAGTCAGTTCAGAAATTTATTCTATGTTCCTAACAGAACATTCTAGTGCTCTCTTCTGCCACTGTTTCTGTGTTTATTGTGTGGGAACTGATCTGCAGAGGATGAGTGGTTGATTCTTGGTTTTCTTATGCATGCTTTTTCCAACTAGAGCATGAATGAAAAATAACTTATGGCATCAACTTTGAATTAATAGTTTCTTGTGAATGTGTGCCTAGAACTAGTTGTAGGGTAGTACTGTAACACAGAATTTGTTGCCTTTGAGTGAGGTTGAGAGTATATTGTATGTGTTGTATGTATTGATTTGTTCTGTATCTGGAGGTTGTGTCACAAAATATGGATTCATGGAACAAATAGATTGATTGCTTGATTCAGTAATGCTAGAGTCAAATGAGGCAGATGTTACATTATTTATAACTGAAAACAACGATTTATAGGTAAAAGTATCAAGTAAAGCTTGGTATTTTGGAACTGTAGTGGCATTATGTTTGCCACATTCGTTTATATTGCTGCTGAATGTGCACAGTGTGTTTTGCTGGCTGTAGTTACATTTAGGCTTTAAACATTGAAGTTATGGGTGAGTGATAAGGACCTCTATCTGGAAGATTCCAGATTAAAATCTTGGCCCATAGACTGACTATTCTGGCTGAGTTTTTTCATGGCTTTCCTCAGCCCTACAGGCAGATGTCAGCATAGTATCTGAGATTGGGCCATGACTGCTCCCTTCCAAATTCTTCCAAATTCACTAATTATCCTATCATAAATGCTTTATAATCTGAGCAAGAAATAAATGTTCTGATCATACTGGATATTATTAAATCATGTTTTGAATGTGCTTAGTTTGAATCTTGGCTGGGAAATTCTCCATAATTTTGGCTGGAACATTCACTATCCTGCCTGAGGTTTTTTTTTTATAGTTTTCCTTTGTCCATGCAAATACCAGTTAGGCCATGATCACTTCCTTCCAGATCTTTATATTTCATCAGTATCCTACCATTCACCCCCCCCCCTCCTACCAACATTAATTCAAGCTAGAAATAACAATTTCAAGAATAAAGGATTAAGAAACAGGTGCAGAATGCAATATGGAATGACAGTAATTAATTTTATTTAAAAACCGTCATTTTTAGGATGATGTTCATACAGGATAAGCATTTTAATTTTCTTGCTAAAGATTTTCTTTGTGGATGAGTTGGTTCATCACATAGAAATATCATGTGGCATTATTAGCTTCAGATTCATATCAGATGAGAACCAGAGAGGATATTGTGTTGTTGTTTTTTTTTTTTTTAGTATGTATTTAACTTTCTTTTGTATGATTTTTGAGAAACAACATTACACATACATAATTTTCCATGCTAACACTTCCATGGATACATTAAAGAAAGTTTGGCTCAAATCCAGATTTATTTGTCTGACTGCTGTAGCTTCTAAATTTTGTCATTTGCTTAGTGGACAAAAACTGTTACTTAAGAATTGGCATGAAAGGACATTTAGATACAGTATCATTTCCCAGTAAAAATATATAATTGATTTGGTCTTACAGGCCCAAAGTATGTCTCATTTAAGTTGAGAAGTCACCTTTGAAAATATTCGTTATATATTACCATAGAACAGAAAATGTCATTACTTTTTTTATAAACTGTCTTGAATCTGTGAGATTTGAGGTTCGCATAGTGGTGCTTGTGAAGAATACTAGCTTCTGGGATGTTATGCCATATAGTCCAGTTGAAGTGTATTTATCTTTTAGAGGAACATATTTCCTCCATCTTCAAGATCAAAGCGTAAGCCAAACAAATAGCAACTCTTCAACCCACTTTGTTTCTTCTTCCTTGTTTGGCTTATTCTTCATTCCTGAAGACTGGAACACTGCATTCTTCCAAAACATCAGTAAACACAGCATAACATCTCAGAACATATTGAGTCCATTTGATTTGGTTTTATCTTTTTTATTCATTATAATCTGAGGCAGTATAATCACCAACAGACAATAAGCAGTGTTCTGTTCAGTAAGTCAGTTTCCTGTCTAAATGTCTTCAAATTGTCTGTTTGATAATACAGTTACTTTATCAAATGTTTTCTTCATAATACTCCATGGAATACTGTTGTGTAGGCCTGTTTAAAAGTCTAAAATAACTTATTTTAATTTTTATTCCAAAACAAGTAAATTTTGTTTGAATCCAGTATATTTGTATTGTTTTCTTACAAAATTAGGTGAACTCAGCCTATATCTGAACACCAAGTTAAGAAAGCATGAAGATGAAATTCCAAAATTGATAGTGGTATGATTATTTGATAACCCATCTTTGTAACGTACTCCCAAACCGAATTCTGTAATAATGAAATCAGTATTTTTCTTTGAACCGTAGATTAAATAATAAGCAGAATTTCAACAGAGCACTTTTTTTTTTCATAAAATTAAATTCATGGAATCATTCTGAAATATGGCTAGGATTTGTTTGTTTCTAGAAAGAAAGGAGATGTTACTGTGATGTGTCAAATATCGATGGGAAAGATGATGTTTGTTTTGCTTTCTGACAAAAAATAAAAGACATTGTTGAATTTTATGTGTGAAAGCCACCAGGATGTCTGCACCTTGACTGTAATTCTCTATTTGAAATATGTTATGTTTGAAGCAGATTTTTTATTGTGTTTTATGGAGAAAGGTAAACTGTATGATGTACTGTTGACAGATATGAAAGCTCTGGATTTGCATATTTACTTTGACAACTGTGCAGTACATAATGGGGTTACACTATTCTGTGTTTCTGTCTATACCATCCTTTTGCATCTTGACCAGTGATCTGGAGCCTTGAAATATTTAAGCTTTCCAGTGTGTTGATTTAGTTGCGAAACCCATTTGATACATATTGAATGTGGTATCAGTCACATCTGTTTTCCTCCTAATTTATTTTCCCATTTTCCTCATGAATATCCATAACCTTGGCAGAATTTAAATATCAGAACAAATAGTAGTTCATGATAGAGGCCCTTTTTTATTGTTTTGATATAAATAGGAATTCATCTATCTCAAAATTACAACATGTACCAGTTTCTTACATGAGGTCATTGAATTTTTTTCAATTGACCTAATCCTTCCAGCCACACTATGGCCCTAGGGTCAACTCAGGCTCTAAAATAATGAGTACCAGGAATTAATTAAATAATTTTCATGGGGAGTAAAGTGCGGCTGGCGCATAAGGCTGACAACCTTACCGCCATTGTTGAGCCGATTGTTTAGATAATGTGGGACCCTCAACGTCTCACAACTCTATGGGCCTTCACAGCCTATTACAGGGATAGCTTTACTTTTTACTTTACCAGTTTCTTACAATTTCAGCTATTCATTTCCAATTTTTGTGTCTTTTCTGTCAGATAGTAAAATTTTGGGACCAGTGTAACTTTATATTTGATATATTTTGTAGTTCCACAGTTATGATTTAAACAAACATGATACAAACTGTCCTTGCTGCGTTTTTAGATCTGAAAATTGAAGCAGACTGATTTCAGCTGTTAGCATTATCTAACAAATATGAATCTCTTACCAGCATTCAGAATGTCATGACATGTCATCAAATATTTTAGTTATATTTACAGTGAATAAGCATGTGTTTTCATTTGAGTAATGTAGTAAGTACTGTTCCTCCAAATGACTATAATTTTGCTTATGATTTGAAACAACTGTTAAATAAATTGCGAACATACCTATAAGAATCACTAGATTTCAGGAGTTGCTGTTGCCCATGTAAATATAATCTGACTTTTTACATGCTGAGTTAGTTTAGTATTTACTTTATCACTTTTCATTACATTACTAAATTAATATTCTAGCCACTATACAGCATAATACTTACTATAGTAATCAGTAATTTATTTTAATAATATGATACAATGCTATTATGCTGATGCACTAGTGATTAGCATACTATTTAAGTGACTGAAATACTCTGCTTTCATTTTTTGACTTTTTCAAAGTAAAATTAATTACAGTAATATTATATGATAACCATTCATCTTAAAATGGACATGCATTCATATCATGATATGTTTGGATATGTTAAGAGTACTTTAATTAATGTATAACAAAATCTCAACAGTTCCTATTTAGTTTTATAATCTTTAGTGGAAGAAGACCAGTAATACAGTTGTTTTGTGTTGATATTTTCTGCAGTTAATTTTGCCAAATCAAGTATGTAGTTCAGAGTAAATTGTAATGTCATACTGAAAAATGGTATGAAAGCACAAAGCAAAATTCTTGGAAATGAGTAAGAACATTGGTATCCAGGATTAAGAATAATAATTTATAAGACAAGAAACTAGTTCTAGATATGGGAATTTATGTAATTTTTCATATCTGTGGTACCATTCCAGCAGTTGAAGTTGGATTGTGTTTTGCATAAGAATCTGTGATATAGCTTAGAGGGAAATCAAGTATTTTTAGTATTTTTATGCGAATTAATGTTTCGTGACCAGAATGTTTTTTGTATGTTCTTTTTTGATTGAGTAAAAAAATTAATTCTAGGAAACATGGTTTAAATTGTTTGTATTGTAGATGACAAACATAGCACTGAAGTATTTCTATTATATCTGTTTTAAACTACCATGATGTATTATTTTCTTCTCCTGCCCTTGTCCGTTTCCTTGGTTTATAATGTAACTAATGACATTCCTCCAGTTTGTGAGGAGTCTGTCAGCAAAACACACATATATTTTAATAATTAATTATATATTTGTTTAGCTATATGTTTCAACCATAGAGACGTTCTTCAGAGATTTTAGTATAGTACATTTATTATCTGCTTTCTGCTGACTCTGTACATTGGCCAGTATTTATATGCTTATTCTTCTCAAATTGTTTTGCCTATTTTAGATGTCATGTGGTAAAATGGGATACAAGGCAGCTGTAAAATGTATAAAAGCAATGTAACTGCTGTAAATGTATAAACAAAATAGGTATAAAAGGTAAGTTTTGTGTATGTAAAGGTGATATGAATAGTAAAATGTAAAGGTTACTGTGGGTAAAATCACTGAATATTGCACGTTTTATTATGGCATAAATAGGTAGTAATGGACTACATGTCATGGATGTGTAGTCATTCTTTGCACATGATGAGGGGCTGGTTGCTGTGTTATAATCTGAGTGGCAGATTTTTTTTGTGCCTCATTGAATGAATTTGATGTTTGCCTTGTTCTCTAGGAGTATGGTAAATTTTCCTAGGCCATAGAGGTGCAGGTTGTAATTATGATCTGTTTGTTACATATATAGTAATTTTACAGGTTTCTTTGTGTGTACCTGATGAGAAGATTTTTGTATCTGGTATGCTATGAATGTTGTCTTTCTGTAGGTTTGTATGGAACTGATGGTGTGGCTGTTGTAGCATTATGCATAACATAAAAGAATCCACAGCTGAAACCATGACTAATACAGCAATAAACCCCTCATCATATGGAAAATCCAAGTTGATGGCTTGATGCCATGGCGGTGTGAGGATTGTCGTACACTCCAAACCTGGGTATTATGAAAGTACACAGTACTGGCCCTCGAGAATCCCACATCATCAGCAAACGGGATGTTAGCTATAGACTGTGTTTACAATGCATTTTGCAAGAATCCATTAGCAAATCTCCACTCTTGCACTGTTGTTGGGAGGAGTGAGACCTTGCAGTCACTGGATGTGGTATTAGTAAAGTGACTGTTCATGGAGAATTCTCCAGGCAAGGGTAACAGTGATACCTTCGGCAGCTGCATATATTCGCACACTGGTTCTGGGATCTTCTCCTTTTCTCAATATGCACACTTCTATATTGAGGAGTTCCAGCTGGTTGAGTCTTTCTGTGATCTGACACCTGTGGAGCAAAATACCAAGATTGACTCGGTCGCTGGTGAAGTTTGGTGAATAATTTGTGGGGTGGGATTCTGCATTGTGGATAATGTTCTGCATAGAGGCAACATGCTTACCGATAATTTCCATTGGCATGGTCACACATGAAATGCATGTCTCCAATTTCCCAAGCAGAGTAATGGTTTCAAATCAAATGAGTATCACAACATTGTCACTGCATTTTCCTCAGTAGCACATAGTAGTGCATATACAGAGTCTAATGAGACAGAACACATGCAAGGGAAAGGTGGAGATATATGATGCACACTGACCTCTTAATATGTACTGCAGTGTTATTCTAATATCCATTCAAATGCAAAACTTGTCCATATCTCAGCAGGCATCGATTTCTGGACATACGTTGACTGTGACTTTTTGTTCATTTAAACCGGTAGTGTACCCCATTAAAGCCGGTAACCATTTTTTCAACACCCTGTATACCAAATACTTACCTTTTATATTTATTTCATTTATATATTTAAAGCAATTGCATTTCTTTTACACATTTTATCCCTACCTTGTATCCCATTTTACCACATGATCATATCTGATCTAGGCAAAACAATTTGAGAAGAATCACAATGTAAAAATTGGCCAATAATAAATGTACATTAATGCCCAAAGATGGCACCTATGACCAAAACATGTAGCTAAGTAAATATATAATTAATTATTACCATATGTGTATCATGTTGACAAAACTCACAAATATATATTACAATGCAGCATGATGCTCCACTACAGATACTGCTCCAGGTTTGGTAGGAGTGTTGTAGGATTCCCATGGAATTATTTCTGTGATTCAGTATAATTTTCTTGAACTTTTATATTTAATACACTCCTCATAGGTGTGAGCATAGCCCAGTCAGTAAACTCCCTGGTTACAGGAGGATTACTGGGGTTTGGTTCTTTATAGTTTCACTTTCCCTGGCTGTTCATTAGTTCGTGGAATATAATTCGAGGGATTAGTAAATGAAAAATAACCTTTACTGCACAAAATAACTTAATTGTTACAGCATAAATAAATAACATAATACTGAAATACTACTCTTAGAGTACATATTGACTACCAAATATTATCCATATCGTGGCTTCTGGGTTATGATGGATCTGAAATGTAAACTTATGTTTGATAGTACAGTTATTCGGACTGGTTGATTCATCAGTAAGAATATACTAATGAATAGTTATAATATAAATTACCCCTGTGACAGTAGCACACCATTAAAACGTATACAGGCCATGAAGGTAAAACTCTCTGCATTCTGTACCATGGTGCTAGATGGAGAAGTGTGGTCAGTTTCATTCTCTGGACACTTTACTATCCTGGAACTCTTTTTCCCTTGGAGTAAATTGAATAAGAAGGTGAATGTGATGAAGATGGATATATTGAAGACCCTGTCAGGATAGGAAGTTCTGTTCTTCCTGTAACCAGTCATTTTGCTGATTTACAACTGTAGAACAATAAAGAAAGAAAAACAGGACATTTCTGTGCTCAAGTAATTTAATTTGGAGTTTGCATGTTCCCATCTTGATTTCAACATCTGGTCACCTTGGTGTGTGATGTATAAATATATATTAAAGTATTTTGAAATAAATGCAGAGTACTAAAACAGAGATATTATGAGGGAGGTATAGTTTTGCATTTGAAGTTCATTATTCCTTCATTTTGCATGAGGTTTAAAGCAGAAGTCAAATTATTTCTTCACCAGACAAGACTTTGGCAGTATGTGCTCATACTTCTGAAGTTTGTATTCTATAGTGGGACATAATGGTTAATGATTTTTATTCTCTGGAGTAGATAGCTCACTCAGAAACTGTAGCACATCTGCTGTCAGCTTATTTGGCATTTGAAGAAATCAAAGATAAACATGTCCCACAGTCTCTAAGGAGATATTCATGACTTCATGAATGGAAATTATATGTTACTATGCAGTTATACTAACAGAAGATGATTTATTTAAATAAAAAGCAACATGGAAAGGATTAAGAATTTTTCCATGGTTTAGTTTTGAAATAGACTGCTAAGTGTATTTTCATGAATCCAGGCAATGAGGAATTTGTTACAATGCAAATATTTTTGTGAGAAATTCACAGCTGACTGAATTTGAGTGATGTAAATTATCATGATGTGAAATTTATTACATCAGCAACTAACAATATGTTTTGTTAATTGTTACACTGCAACAAAATATAAATAAGTTCTCAGTGGAAACCTACTTCATGTTGCAGATCTTTGAATATACCGATAGTCATTCAACTGGTCAAGAAATTCCATGCTTGTATTGAACCAAAAGGTTCATCAGTATGTTAACAAAAGAATATCATTGGGCCCAGTCTAGAACTACCTGATTTGAGTTTACATCTTCACACATTATTTTTGTAAGAATCACTTTAATATTATCTTCTCATCCAGGTTAAGGTCTTTCAACTGGTCTCTTCCTTTGAGATTTCCTGAAAAAAAAAAAAAAGTCGTATGCCACTTTAATTTCTCCATGTTTGCAGTATGTCCCATGCCTCAATCCTTCTTGATTTAATCACCGTAACAGTGTTAAGTAAAGTGTGCACTGTGAACCTCATTTTTGGAGTTTCTCCATCCTCTTACTTATTAAATATTGTTGAAGAAATAGTTTCTGTCTTTTGAGATTAACAACTGTGGAAAGATATTCTCTAGTTTGGAGTTCGCATTTACTAATTTACTGTTTTACAGATCCATATTTTCTTGACCTTGGCACTAGTTGGAGGTGTCCCTTATATGCCTTCATGGCGTAGTGCTTAATTAGTTAAGCACGGGGACAACTTTACCTTTTTACCTTTGCTAATTTACTGTTGGCCAGAATTATTCAAGAGTTGAGAAAATTGACTGCTTAGAAATGTAATTTAGTTTGTAGTGATAAATATACACCAGATATAATATGTTTAAAATGAAAGTGTTAGATGTTAATGGAGGTCTATGTTTTGTGTTATATACCAGTGCTTTATACAGAAAGCCATTTCTGAGAAACTTAAATGTAGTTTTTAAGTAGGGATTGGTAGTAGAGTAGTACAGATCAACATATTTGCCTGAAAAATATAATATACACTCCACCCCCCAAGTGTCCAATCCACTGAATCATTTTAGACATGGAACATGTGTACTGATAGATATACAGATATGAACCTTCCCATTAGATGTTCAGTTTATGTACCGCATCCAAAGAATGCATAATAATTAGAACAAAAAAAAAGTAATGCACAATGGAATACAGGGAAAGGGATGTTTACACTAAATTCTGTAGTTTGCTGTGGAACATACAACATCCAGTAAAACCAAACTGATGTAGTGATAATTCTCTAGGCTTATGTTCAAGAGATACTTGGTTCAAATTTCAGCTGGGGTACCAGCTATTGTGAGCGATGTTTTACATGGTTTTTCTCAGTCCCTCCAGGCAAATGTCAAGGCAGTATCTTTATTAGGCCACAATTGCTTCTTTCAAAATCTTCCCCAATTCATTAATCACCTTACCGTTTGACATATATAGTCCAGATAATGACAGCTGTTATTAAAATAAAACATAATTAACAACCAAAATCAGTACCTTTAAAATTTCACCATCTGCTTTATGACAGCAATTTTATGTGCTGTGACTACATGTGATGCTTTGAGATTGTAGATTACAGTTTAAAAAATATTGACTTGGATCTATTAAATAAGGTTGGATCCTTCTTCCCCAAAGCAGAATTATCAAGTAATTTATGTTTATTTACTGTCATAGGCAAGATGTCTCCAAACACTGGTCTTGTTCAATATCTATAGCATTATATAACAGTATTCTCTGAGATAGGCTCTCCATCCTGAAATAAAGAATAAGGAAGGAGAAGAAAAAAATAACTTCGCCTGTTAACTGTTGCTTAATAAATTGGCTCATGATTCTTGTGTTGAAACTTCCATGACTAAAGAGACTGGCTTATTCAGAGGAAAGAACAGGCTTTTATATTATATATACCTGTGAGTATGTGAAGATAAACTGATGCAGTATTTTGGGTTTTTCTGTGCAACAGCATTTACCCCCCAAGTAGCATGGGATTTTAGCTTGCAGTTTTTGACAGGGCTTGGCAGTCAAAGGTTTAAAGAAAGGTGGCCCAAGACTTACTTATGTCATTATTTAATGTAACTGTTCCATACCTTTAGAACTACATCTATAGAATGGTTCTTTATGTTTAAGTGTGAGATGGCTGGCTATCCCAATCTGAATATGCATGCTTCCTTCATTTTTCACATAAATTCACAGGGGAATCACCTGAATAATAGTGGGTAATCTTAGGGAATTTTGGTTTTAACTAGATTTTCATGCCAGTGAAGATTTGTACTGATGTATTTGTCTGGTTATCTTCTAAAACATATGATTGTTTCATGTTTATGACATATTGTGCTGTACAATTAAGACTCTTATCCTGTGACTTTATGACAGCAAAAAATTCTTAAACATGCTATACCATTGAGATCAATTAATATTTTCTGTATATTTAAATCCAATATTTCTAGCCCCCCCCCCCATTTTTTTTTCATAAAAGATCAACTTTCCAATTTATGATCGGAACTGTAAACATGATCTTTAACCTTTCATATTTGGGAAAGAAGGATCTCATTTATGAAAGGATTTGCAGGATTTTATTGTGCTTAAAAGCAAGGACAGTGTGTATTTGAACCATATTCAGCTTAATGATCTGACGGCGACTTCTTATGACACTGAAGTTTCGTTGCATTGGATGATGTTCTAGCATAACTGTCAATGCTGAATGAAGACTGTTGTCAAGCAAATCTAATTTTTCTTTATACTGGTCCAGTGTAGTTTTTACTTAATATCATGCTCGAATCAAACCAAGTTTCTCAGAAGCAGCTAATTGTAAATAAGTGCAGTAAAATACAGATTTTGTTACAGTTTCTAATTTATTTGTAATGTTTTTTTTCTTCAGTACATGTTTAATGAAATGCAAGAAAAAATTATATTTTGCAGTGTATTTTACTGTTCATTGGCTTTGTCAGTAGAATTCATTACTGTGCACTTTGTAACCAATAATATTGATTATCTTACTCATCAGATATTTTTTATTGGCAGTGAAGGTAGATCAATATCAGTAAGGTATGCAGAATCACCGAGAATGCAGTTGAAAAACACGTACTGACTGGAGTACATTCTTCTTAATTTTATAATTGAATTAATTTCATTTATTACCTAATGCCTTAGGCAAAGTGTGTATTTCTCATTAATACTATCAGATTTTACAATGTTCCCTTCTGTAAGTCATAACGAACTTCATATGAAAAGGTGTACGAAGTCACTGTGTCTTCTCCAAGATTATGTGGAAAGGTATTAAATAATTGAATGGACACTTTGTAGATAATTTATTTAGAGAATATGACCTGAATTATGAGTGTAGTTTATCTCTGTATTGCCATCTCTTGAGAGCAAGAATTGTTTTTTCTTTCTTAAACCAACTCAGAGTTGAAGACTTATATTGAACATTCGCCTGAAGTTGATTTGTGATTAATAATGCCACTTCTTTGAGACTTAAAATGTGTCTGAAGAAGTTTACAGTAAATGATTGTTATATAGTAGTGTGAATAATTATCGTATGTCTCATGGATGTTGTATGGTGATGTGTGTGTATGTGTGAATATGCATGTGTGGCCAGTTTGTGGTGGTACGGGTAAATAAGACAAGGGCATTTGGATTTATGCTGCATATAAGAGAACATTTTTTTTCTGTAATCTTTGAAAAGTTCTCTAGTGAAAGAAATTTGTAATTATTTTATCACAGATTAAAATATTTGGGTGGAAATTTGTAAGGAGAATTTTTATAAAGTACAAGGAAAATACAGAATGAAGCAAATATGTAATAAATATATTAATTCAGAATTGAAATACTGACAAGTAGTAGTGAAAGTTAAGTTCACGTTTTTTTTACCAGTCAGATTAAATGTTTCTGTACACTGCTCTTTACATTCTACATGTTTTGCTAAAGGCTATAATCACACTTATTTTACAAATGAAACAGAAGTAAATCTGTATCATAAACTTCACACAGATTTCAGTTCCATGTTATTTGCTGGAATAATTCATACAATATATAATGTGTCACCACATCTAGTCCAGTAGTACTGGATTGGGTTATTTGTGGGATGGCTGACAACTTGATTCTGCCTAGTGTTCTCCATTTGGTTAGTTTTTGGCCAGCGAGGACTAGGCATCAGTAAGTCTACAAATAGGCAAATCAACCAGTTTTCAACTTACTACATTAGGCCTTGATGTTGGAGACAGAGACCATTTCCAAGACACTGGAGCTTTATTCCATATTGATTTGACCAGTCACCTGAAAATACCTCATTGAAACTCTAATCAGCACTCCATATGTTGTAAAATGCTTTTTTTTTTCTGAACCAGCTGTCGTGAATTGGTTTGGTTTGTGTGTATTATGACACTTACTGAAGAACAAGTGCAAAAACTATATGCCACATGGGAAATTTTCAGTGGTTGGCATATAAAATAGGAAAAAAAATCATATAGGATATTTCCAGGTTTTAACATATTACTGGAATTCTGGCTGCATTGTATGTATCATTCCAGAAATTGTGTGGAAGAATGACGTGTAAAGGGAACAGATTGTTAATTTCTTCATGTTTCCTAGTCCTTTTTCTATATTAAATTCTAATGATAAATTCAGTTTTCAGAATGATGCCTATGGGGAAATTGTACACAAGGAATTATAATGTTGTAGGACTTGAGGTTCTCACAGCAGTGGTTCTGGAATATAATGTCACGTAGTCCAGTGAAGTCAGCTGGGTTACATGGAATTATATCTGCAAAAAATAGAATTCTTGGGTTATAATGTTGGTTCCTAAATGTACAAAAAGTGTGAGAGGTCAAGACTGATCAAGAGTTTTGGCATTTGTACAGACAAAGGTATAATATATAAGATATTCTGTTTTCATACTGGACACCAACACCAGACAACAGATGGAACTTAATTGGTCCAAGAAATCCCCTGTATGAGCAGATGTTACTTACCATATTTTATCTTTATTTCAATAGTGATTGTGTTGTATGTCAGTCATTTTACTTTTGTTTACTTTGTTACTTTGGTGTTTATAACCAAATGTCCATAAGGCAGATGACCAGAACAGTAATATCCCACATTCAGTAATAAACATTAAAGATAACTACATTAGATAATTAAGGCAAACTAATTGTTATATTAAAAGAGCATAATTTATAACACCAAGTATACTACTGGAAACTCATTTATATGAAACATGAATCCAAGATGGCAGCAGAAATTGCCAGCTCTTGAATGAAGCCTTATTCCTTGAATATCTTGAAACATGATTTTTTGTAATAGTGCCAAGACTGAGTTTGATGTTTGTATTGTTAGAAATGGATTATCATTTTTAGGAAATATGAATAGTTTGTGTGTTGTGACAGTTTTATTGTGTAGTGATGTGTAAGGTTATTTTTTTAAATTGTATAACTCTTCAATTTCACTTATAAGCAATATTCAGATAACTGTGTGTGGTGATACTGTTGGATGCTGTAATCAGATTGACAGATTGGCCTCTGTATCTGTTTCAGGCTTCATTTCCAGATTAAAATGAAATGTAATTGTAATACACGAAGTGCAAATCACATTGATGTGATCAGATTTTACTGTACAAAGCCCTGACAATTTTTGCACTCCACCTGTGCACTGCAACACAGTTATTAACTATTTTAGCATGGTCACATTCAGGAGATACCCTCTTCAAATCCAGTTGGTGGCTGGTTATCCTAACTCCATGGCACAGGGTCCTGCTTGAAAAGTTTATAGTTACTCAGCTAGAAACGAAAATCCTTGCATTTATAGAACCTGGAGGTTCATTACTGTCTTCACAAAAGTCTGCCATTGGACCCTACCTGAGCTAGATGAATCCTTCATATTCCATTTCTCAGAGATGCATCTTATTATTTTCCTTTTGTCTCTTCCTTTGCTTTTTGTTATTCTGAATTGTATTCCTCATGCATGCATGCATGCAAAATCATCCTAGAAATATCAGGTGAAAGAATGAAAATAATGAAACTCCTTGTTATATAATTTTCTCCATCATTCTGTTCCTCTTTCTTAGATCCATATATTCTGCTCAGAATTTGCTCTGATACCCTCAACCTGTGTTCTTCCCTCAATGTGAAAGACAGTTTCACATTTGTACAAAACAAAAGGCAAAATTATGGTTTTGTATATTTTGATATGGTTTCTGCTTGGACACAGAAGATAAAGGATTCTGAACATAATTCTAGGAAATACCTATCAAATTTGTTTCTTATTCTGTTACTGTCATATTTAAGTATCCGAATGTTGTTACAGTTTCAGAGTTTTGAATAAGTATCCTGTCCACCCTGGACCCTTTGAGAAAAATGCATACCTTCTCCTATCTTCCGAGGCTGTTTCCTACAGTGCTCCTCAAAATTTGTTGGTCATATTTCATTATTAATGCATAATCTCATTTGCTGATGTAATATTATAAAATATCAAATAAATAAACAAACTCTCAGAACAGGATTCAGCAGTCTGCACTTTACCCCAAAGGGTTGTGTTGTCCTTACACTATTGTGTGCAAACAATCTGCAATTTTGGCCAAAACTGCTATATACACCCAGTTCCCTCTGATGGTTTCTAATTTATGGCCCTCAAATTACCTGTTTGGATGACTTCAAGTTAATATTAAAAACAGCAAGCAAGTTGGCATAGCACTTATGGTGTATGCTCTTATTTGAGAGGTGCTTAGTTTGGATACGATTATATAAAAAAAAATTAATAATATATCTTAAAGAAATGCAATTACTATTGAAAATCTTATGTTCATGTTCACCAGTTCAGTACAGGTAGGATTATATGGAAAAGGTAAGAGAAGGAATACACATACAACAACAAAAGTGAATAACAATGTAACAAAAATGAAATAGGTAAAGAAATTACATAGTCCTACCCACATTCAATCCTGATACTGATTCTGCTTCTCAGAGTTTCACATTGAGGTGGATAACCTGAACTTTGCAAGTCAATTATACAGTAATTCCTCTTCATTCTTACCTACACATAAACAAGACCAATGTGTGTCAGAAAACAATTTTCCACACAATTCTCGATTGAAATTTAATTACTTGAAGATGATAACAGTAAAGAACCAAGGGCATGTCAGTCACAGGAGAGGAATACAAAGGGTATTTTGGTAGGATAAATTGAATGATCTGTTGGGGATACAAATAGAATATTTAGATGGATGTTGGGTGAAATGGAACCAAGGGAGCAGGGTGTGGACAGGATTCTTTTATTATTATTTTTATTGGAGTGAGAGACAATTTTGGTACTTTGGCTAGTTGTAGCTTGTACCAATCCTAGATGATGGTGATTGTAGAGCAGTTTGTGGAATGAAGATTGGTAGGGGAAATCGAAATACTTGGAGAAAAGCTGTCCAAGTGCCACACTGTGTCCACCACAAATCCCACATGACAAGGCCCGGGAAGCTAGCACAGGAGTCATGTAGTTGAGAATAAGGGGCAATGAGTTCTGTGACAACAGCGCAGTGAGGTCGCGGGTTCCATGAAATGGTAATTTCTTCGGGTACTGAGCAGCTGTTTGCAATGGGCTTGGTCCTGATGTATGCCATCAATGTAGAATTCGGTACCTGTTGGCAATAATGAATTTCATGGACGTAAATGTACAGGTGGGCGGTGATAAGAAGCAGTGGAGATTTCTCTGCGGCCAGGGACCATACAACAGTGCGTATAAGTTCAAATTAAAATTTCCGTTAGTATAATGAAGCCTGGTAGCACATGTTTGCCGCGAGAAAATTCAGAGTTTCGGTCGAAGGCAAAACGTTTGCGCCAAGAGAAAAGAGTGCCACGCATTGTAGAGCATTGTATAAATGAACCTCCCCTCACTCCTTAAAAATACTAGTGTATATCTAGGTGTTTGCTGCTGGCACCTATGTGTATGCGACTGAGAGCAAAGAAATGTACTACTCTGTCCAAAAAGTATCCGACCTTGGGCCGGGAAAAAAAGTTCTGTATCTTGGTGGTTACAAGACCTAATCCCCTTCATAGTAGGCCCCTTGAGACTCCACACACTTAGCCCAGCGGTCCTTCCATCGCTGGAAGCAATTCTGGAAGGCTTCTTTTGGAATGGCGTGCAGCTGCACCATCGCGTTCTGTATGATGTCCTCGCGGCTGTCAAAACGGCAGCCTTTTAGCGGTGTCTTCAATCTCGGGAACAGCCAGAAATCACAAGGAGCCATGTCAGGAGAGTAGGGAGCCTGGCGAACCTGCGGAATGCCGTGCTTGGCCAGGAAACCCTGGATCAGGTGTGATGAATGAGCTGGGGCGTTGTCATGATGCAGCTGCCAGTTGCGTGCG